GGAGAGGTCTCCCCACGATCCCTGTCTATCCAAGTCATGCTCTGGGATGAGCAAATCACTCTCCCTCCCATCTACCCCCAGAGTTTTTCAAACTGATGGTTCTATGCTATATCTGCATGGGCTGTTTGTCCTGCTGTCACTTTAAGGGTGGGGACTCCACTTCCAAACACCCTTGGAGCTCCCCCAGAGCCGAGCCTCCCAATTTTGAAAATTCCAGGCATTCTCACTGGTGTAGAACTCATGAAGTTTGGCCCCTCTCGCTTTCAAAGGCAAATGTTATGGGGATTCATCCTTCCCATTTGTGGGCTCCCCAGTGTGAAAGTCTGTTTTCACCCTTCTCCGCACCACTGGCTCTCTCCCCAACATGGACAGCCATGGTCTGTTGCACTCCCAGACCCTGTCTTTGCCCTTCCTACCTTCTTTGATGTGGCCTCTTATCTACCTTTAGTTCGTGGAGTCTGTTCTGCCAGTCTTCAGATCATTTCATGGGTTATTTATGCTGCTATATCTAGTTATAGCCATGGAACAAGGCAAGCTTACTCCCCCTACTCTACCACCATCTTCCTAGTCAATCCTCTAATTTTTGACATTTTAATTATTATGCTTCTCAGTGTGGACCTCTTTGGGTTCATCTTATTTGGAGTTCTCTGTATTTCCTGGACCTGGATGTGTTTCCTGCCCCAGGTTAGGGAATTTTTCAGCTTATTTCTTCAAGTAAGTTCTCCACCTCTTTCTCCTTCTCTCTTCTTCTTCTGAACCCCTATAATGCAATTATTAGTATGCTTAATGTTGTCCTAGAGGTCCCTTATCTCACTTTTTTATAGCCTTTTTTCTTTTTGCCATTCAGCTTGGATGATTTCCACTACTCTGTCTTCATAATTGCTGAGCTGTTCTGCATCCTCTGATTTATGGTTGACTCCTCTAGTGTTTCTCCTCCTAAGTTAAGGAATCATCTTTATGATCATTACTTTGAATCGTATCAGGTAGACTGTCTATCTCTGTTTTGTTTAGATCTTTTTCTGAGGTTTTTGTCTTGCTCTTTCATTTGAAACAGACTCCTCTGTCTCCTCATTTTGTCTTTCTGTGTTTCTACGTATTAGGTAAGTTAGTACATCCCCTGGTCTTGAGAGTAGTGGCTTTATGTAGAAAACATCCGGTGGGGTCCAGAATCACAATGCACCCTGGTCACCAGAACCCAACCCTCAAGGTGTCCCCTTGTGGGCTACATACACACTCCTATTGTGACTGGGCTGCAACTGCTATGCCAACTGGTGGGCTGAGGTGACTGCTGGACCAGCTGCCTCCAATGCCCAGCCACGACTACTATGGGTGCACTGGTGGGAGGGTCTGGCCCTGGCACAACTGGATGAGAGGACCAGCTGCAACTGTTGCAGCTGGGCTGGTTGGTGGGGATCAATCACCAGTGTGAAATGGCTGTTGATGCCTATCTTTGACTGTTGCAGGCATGGTGGATGGTGGGAGGTGCTTTAGAAATGTGCCTGCCAGGGCAAGTACTTTGGGAAGGCATGTCCACAGGGGAATGCTGGTACAGGGAAAGCAGTGCCATCAAGATAGATGGAGAGTGTCAACTGGTATGGCAGCATCATGCCAGCTAGGCTGAAGGAGAGCAAGAAAAATTGCACCTGCCAGCACTCTGTTCCTACAGAAAGTTCCTACAGATCCCTACCCTCCAGCACATGCCCTAAAAATTAGTCAATAAATCTCCTTCACTTATGGCCCAGGTGCTTTTCAAACAGCTGCCCTGTGCTGTCTGAGTGAGACTGTGCATGAGCCCTTTAAGAGGAGAGTCTCCATTTCCCTCTAGCCCTCCCAGAGTTGGCCTGCTATTTTTCAAATCCAGACATTATGTGGGCTTCTCTTCCCAGGGCAGATTTTTGGGGTGGGGGTGAAAAATGTAGGGTTTGAACTCCTCACTCCTCAGGCAGGTCTCTTCACCTGTGATGTCCTTCCTGATTCTCGATTACCACACCACGTGTTAGGTTCCTAACCAGACCATGTCTCTTCCCCTCCTACCCTTCTTGATGTGGCTTTTTCCTCGTATCTTTAGCTGTGGAACAGCTGTTCTCCTAGTCTTCAGGTCATCAGCACAAAGAGTTGCTCTATATGTAGTTGCATAGATTTGCTGTATCCATGGGAGGTGAGCTCAGGATCTAATTTGCCTTCTTCTTTGACTCTATACAGTTGCTTTAAAATCTGCTAAGGCAAGCCACTACCCATGTTGCTGTTTTACTTGTTTTAAATTATTACATTCATTGCAAGTATTATTTCAAACTTTCCTACCGCTTTCTCAACTTACACACACTATACTTGAATTTTCATTGGTATTTTTACACAAAGTGACTTGGAGTATCTTATAATTTTTAATATATTTGTTAGGAAGAATAAAAGTCCTTTATTTCTGGGGTGCCTGGGTAGCTCAGTTGGTTAAGCATCTTACTCTTGATTTCAGCTCAGGGTTGTGAGACCAAGCCTTGCATCGGGCTCTGTGCTAGGTGTGGAGCCTGCTTGAGATTCTCTCTCTCCCTCTGACCCTCCCCCACTCTAAAAGAAAAAGTCCTTTATTTCTGCCATTTAATGTCAGCAATAATCTTTTTAAAAATTTTTTTATTTATTCATTTGAGAGAGAGAGAGATCGAGAGACAGACAACATGAGCAGGGGCAGGGGGAGGGGCAGAGTGAGAAGCAGGCCCTCCTGAGCAGGGAGCCCACTGTGGGACTCAATCCCAGGATTCTGGGATCATGACCTGAGCCGAAGGCAGATGCTTAACCAACTGAGCCACCCAGGCACCCAGCAATAATCTTTATTACCCTGTCCACTCATCTATTACTTACTCATATCCTTTTTTAAAGATTTTTAGAGAGAGTATGCGTGGGCATGCAAGTGGGCATGCAAGTGGGGGGAGGGGCAGAGGGAGAGGGAGACTCTCAAGCAGACTCCCCCCGAGCCCAGAGCCCGATTCAGGGCTTGATCCCACAACCCTGGGATCATAACCTGAGCGAAAACCAAGAGGCAGACGTTCAACGGACTGAGCCACCCAGGTGCCCCACCCATATCTTTATTTATACCCTATTATATTTCACAAAGGATGAAGTTTACAAACACCAAATTAGATTTATATCCAAATTTTATACTTTTTGGTTTTTTATATTAGCAAGATTTCTTTTTTATGTTATTGTTGTTTGTTAGTGATATTCATAGTAGTCATACTATACAGCCACAGATAGTCACAGACGGTAATGATAGTACTGAAAGTCAACAGACTTTGTGAATTTCCTCTGAAGCTCATTTTCTGAAACACAAATTCTATCAGACTGCTATAACAACTATCAGAGACTGTGTAGTTTATACACAACAGGAATTTTACTGCTCACAGTTCTGGAGGTGGAGAAGTCGAAGACAAAGTTGCCAGTATAGTTGCCAGTATGGTGAAGGTTCACAACCTGAACCTTCATTCTGTGTCCTCACAAGGTGTAAGGGCTAGAGATCTCAGTGGAGATTCTTTTATAAGGGCACTAATCCCATTTATGAGGGCTCCACACTCACTAAGCACCTCCTAAAGTCCCCAACTACTAATACCATCATCTCTAGGGGTTAGCATTTTACCACATGAATCTTGTGGGGTCACAAATATTCAGAACACAGCACATTATATTCAATGAATTTCTGAGCTAGTTTCATTGAATATCCTCAATTTATACAGAGTATCCACAAATGAATAGTTTCCTTTCCAATATTCATCTTTCTTTTTTTTTAATGGCTCACTGAAAATGGTCAGCATGTCCAATACTATACTGCACAGAATGGTGAGAGAGAACACCTAATTCTATCTTTTGTTTTATTTCTCTATTGCATTAGTTTTATCAGTAATGCATATTATATTTTATCAAATGATATAATGCATGTTGATATGCGGTGAACTTTATTTTGGACTAATACACCCTTCTCATAAATGATGTTTCAAACAGTTATCACTCAATCTGTTTAACTATGAGAACCATAAATATAAGGAAAAAACTAAGAAGCAAGTTATAGTTTCGTTTTTTGTTATTGTTGTTGTAGAATTCCATAATCAGGTGTAACTAAACAGTACACACTTCAGAGAAAGTGGTAAAATTAAATTATTGCCATTTCCCACTAAAAAAAATTCAACCACACTGAGTTATATAATTTAACAAACAGGAAAGATAAAAAGATGGCATATTTAATGTTTCACTATTTTGGTATGACTTTAACAAAAATTCTATTTAGTAATTCAAAAACATAACTCGTTGTAGCTGTATATCAAAACTGTATTAAAAACAGTCAACTTTATTGTTGACACAGTCAAACATTATTTTTAATTCATTCATTTCCTTATTCACTATTATAAACATTAAACACTATGCTAGTTGCAGGGGGATACAACAGTAAACAAGGCAGTATTTTTCTTCAGTCAACTTACAAACTAGTGTAGGGGCTGATAAAATTTTTCTGTAAAGGGCCACATCATAATATAGGCTTCTAGGAGGCCATACAGTCTCTGTTGCCAACTACTCAGCTCTGTCGTAAGGCAAAAACAGTTATTAGACAACAGGTAAAATATGAGCATGCATGTGTTTAAATAAAACTTTATTTACAAAACAGGTGGTGGGCCAGATCTGGACAATGGGCTACAGGTTGCCAACACCTGCTCCAGTAAAAATTAATGAATTAGGAATTTCAACACTATATGGTAAATGCAATGACAGTGGGAAGCACAGGTTATTGTGGGAACATGATCTAAGGAATCAATAAAGTCTTCTGGGAGGAGACAACAATCCAACGGACTACTCCACTTTCTCACATTCAGCAAATAAAAGTAGTTTATTGTAATGTGTCACCATTATAAAATCTCATTCTAAAAATGGAAAACATATTTGACTATGCAAGAATTACTTCACAATATAGTATTCTCTTCTGTTTATGAAAAAATATGCCATAAGCACAAGTAAAAGCTTACCTTGAGAGACTGTTTTGAGAACAATTAAAGTTGATAAAAATCTCAATGGTAAATTGGAGCTCTTAAAGAAAGCAGCTGTCTTTGGTTTATTCTCCACTGAATGTTCTAAAGAATTATCTTGAATTCCCTTCGTTACTACTCCTTTGAATATGTCTTCACCCAATCTCCTCAATGTTGATGTCATGGTTGAATGCTGTTAAAAATATGTACCACCTTATTATATTTATTTATGTCCATGATATATTTCAAATACTACAATCAAATACAGAAACTAAAAATAAGTCAGTTTTTTTTCTAATTAAAAAATGGCTTAGAAATATGCAAAATTAAAAAGAAGTAATTTTATAATCAATTTTTTAAAATTATTTATGACTTTTTCTAAAAGAAATGAGCAGTCTACTAAGAAAAAATTAGGAGAATTGAGACAAGATTCAATTTGAAAATGTTTAAGAACATCAGATCATGATATGTTTCTGGCACAGAGAAATCAAAAAAACAGAAAAGTAGACACTATAGGTTCTTCACTCCTCCACCATTACTGACAAATGGTTTCTTGGGTGTATCTTACAGTGTTAGCTTATAAAGTGATTATCTAGGGTCTCACTGCTTTACAGCTTACTATGATGATAACCATCACAGTGATTTTAATAACTAACTTTTAACACCTGCTGAAGAATAAAATACTGGGTTAGATTCATGGATAATTCTGGAGCGCCTGGGTGGCTCAGCTGGTTAAGCATCTGCCTTCTGCTCAGGTCATGATTCCGGGGTCCTGGGATCGAGCCCCACATTGGGCTCCCTGCTCCACCCTCTCCCTCTTCCCTTCTCCCTGCTTGTGCTCTCTCTCTCTCAAATAAATAAAATCTTAAAAAAAAATTTAGAATCATGGATAATTCTCATGGTGAATAAACTAAAACAAGACAATGGGCAAAACAGAAATACTGACAAGTAAATACTTCTAAAATAATATAAGCTTTTATGATATTCCACATATATTTTAAGAACCAAATAAAGGAAAACCATTTTACACTGCTACAGATGAGAACGCATGAGCCAGACTTAGAAGTAACTTAAATATGGGTAACAAGTATTTGCTTTAGAATTTCAGCATATTAAAATTAGAGAGATAGGGGTGCCTGGGTGGCTCAGTCAGTTAAGTGTCCAACTCTTGATCTCAGCTCAGGTCATGATCTCAGGGTTGTGCGATCAAGCCCTGTGTTGGGCTCCACGCTGGGTGTTGAGCCTGCTTGAGATTCTCTCTCACCCTCTGCACCTCCCCCACTCTCTAAAAAAATAATAATTAAAAAAATAAAATAAAATTAGAGAGATATATTGAGATTTTATGGGGATCAAAAGGCACAATGATTGGGTGGTGAGTGGCATAACAAATACAATCTAATTTAAATATACGGTCTATAAACCTTGAATCTGAAAAAGGAAGCCTCATACACTATTGGTAGGAATGTAAACTGGTATAGCCATTGTGGAAAACAGTATGGAGGTTTCTCAAAAAATTAAAAAAGATACAATATGATCCAGTAATTCCACTATTAGTTATTTACTCAAAGAAAACAAAAACATTAATTTAAAAACATATATACACTCCTATGTTTATGCAGCATTATTTACAATAGCCATGATATGGAAGCAACCTAAGTGTTCATCAACAGGTGACTGGATAAGGTGTGTGGGGTGTGTGTGTGTGTATGTACACACACACATACATACACAGTGGAATATTATGCAGCCAAAAAAACAGATGAGATTTTGCCATTTGTGACAACATGGATGGACCTATAGGGTATTATGTTAAGTGAAATAAGTCAGACTGAGAAAGACAAATACCATATGATTTCATTCATATATGGAATCTAAAAAAAAAAATGAACAAACAAACAAAAAGTGGAATCAATCTTTAAATACAAAGAACAAACTGATGGTTGCCAGAGGGAAGGGGGGTGAGAAGAAGGGCAAGATGGGTGAAGGGGAGAGGGAGATACAAGCTTCCAGTCAGGGAAGGAATAAGTCACAGGAATAAAGGCACAGCACAGGGAATATAGTCAATTATATTATAATAGTGCTATATGGAGACATTTGGTACCTACACTTGTAATGAGCAAAGCCTAAGTATAGAAAAGTTGAATCAGTATGTTGTATACTTGAAACTAATTTAACACTGTGTGTCAACTATACTCAAAAAAAAATTTAAATAAGTTTTTAATATCATTAGGAAAAGATAATACGTATGTTTTTTAAAACCCTGGTATAAAAATAGGAGAAAATATTAGAAATTCTAGAAGTTTCCTGATGCCTCATATTTCTCAGGCTTGAAGCTGAAAAGGCTGGCAACCTGGAAACTACAGACAAAAAAAAGCCCCAACATAAGTCTGCTCTCTCTAGCCAAAAGTCTAAGAAAAGAGCAGCCTTGCAAAATAAAAAACTTCCATTTTTTAATTTTAGTTTTAGATGGGGGAGGGGCAGAGGGAAAAAGAGAATCTTAAGCTGGCTTCATGCCTAGCACAGAGCCTGATGTGGGGCTCGATCTCACAATGCTGAAATCATGACCTGAGCCGAAGTCAAGAGTCAGATACTTAACCAACTGAGCCACCAAGGTGCCCCAAGACAAAAAACTTTTAGACAAAACCACAATCCAAAAAAACACCATAGAAAGATCTGTGGTCCAACATCCACCTAGATGAGCAAAATTCCAAGGACAGCCTACACTTTTACCCTCAACCAGGCAGTAACAAGGTGTTCATGAATGCAATGTGAGGGGTAGTAATGAGGCACTCCCATCCCTCCCAGTTAGGGAGATATCAGTGGAGGCCTAGTGGGAACCAGAACTCCCTCCCTGCCCCCCCCAGATAGCAATAGAAGCCTGGTGGGGAACCTGGACTTCTACTTAACTAGGCAATAAAGAGAGCCATCCTGTATTTCCTCTGCAAGAGCAGTGTCAAAAGAAAGCCAGATAAAAAAGAGGCCCAGAGCCTTATAATATCAAAATGTCCAGTTTTCAATAAAAAATCACTAATCACACAAAAACCTGGAAGATCTCAAACTGAACGAAAATCAGTAACTGCCAACACCAATGGCACAAAGATGTTAGAATTATCTGACAAACATTTTAAAGCAGCCATGATAAAATTTATAATTATGCATTTTAAAAAAATGTAAAAGAGAAAATTTCATCAAAGAAATAGAAAGTCTTACCAAAGAAAATATAAAGAACCAAATGGAAATTTTATAACTGAAAATACAGTAACCAAAATTAAAAACAGAGAGGTTCACTAGCTAACTGAATCCAACAGTATATTAAAGGGATTTTTCACCACAATCAAATGGGATTTATTCCTGGGCTGCAGGGTGATTCAATATCCACAAAACAATCAACATGATATATCACATTAATAAAAGAAAGGATAAGAATCATATGATCCTCTCAATAGATGCAGAAAGCATTTGACAAAATACAGCATCCTTTCTTGATAAAAGGCCTCAAGAAAGAAGGGATAGAAAGAACATACGTCCACATCATAAAGGTCATATACAAAAGACCCACAGCAAATATCCTCAATAAGGAAAAACTGAGAGCTTTTCCCTTACTGTCAGGAACATGACAGGGATGCTCACTCTTACCATTATTGTTCAACACAGTACTGAAGTCCTAGCCTCAGCAATCAGACAACAAAAAGAAATAAAAGGCATCCAAGTCAGCAAGGAAGAAGTCTAACTTTCTTCCCAGATGACCTGATACTTTATATAGAAAACCCAAAGACTCCACCCCAAAACTGCTACAATACATGAATTCAGCAAAGTTGCACAATATAAAATCAATGTACAGCAATCTGTCGCATTTCTATTCACCAATAATTAAGCAGCAGAAAGAGAAATGAAGGAATCAATTCCATTTACAACTGCACCCAAAACCATGAGATACCTAGGAATAAACCTAACCAAAGAGATAACAGATCTGTAATCTGAAAACTACAGAACACTGGTGAAAGAAACTGAAGACAACACAAACATTCCATGCTCATGGATTGGAAGAATATTGTTAAAACGTCTATACTACTCAAAGCAATCTACACATTCACAATGCAATCCCTATCAAAATAACACCAGTATTTTTCATGGGCCTAGAAAAAGAATTCTAAAATTTGTATGGAACCAGAAAGGACCCCGAATAGCCAAAACAATCCTGAAAAAGAAAACCAAAGTGGGAAGCATCACAGTCCCAGACTTCAAGCTGTATTACAAAGCTGTACTCATCAGGACAGTATGGTACTGGCACAGAAACAGACACATCGAATAAAGAAACAGGATAAAGAACCCAGATTTGGACCCACAACTATATGGTCAACTAATCTTCAACAATACAGGAAAGAATATCCAATAGAAAAAAGACAGTCTCTTCAACAAATGGTATTGAGAAAACTGGACAGCCACACGCAGAAGAATGAAACGGGACTACTTTCTTTTTTTTTTTTTTTTAAAGATTTTATTTATTTATTTGACAGAGAGAGACACAGCGAGAGAGCGAACACAAGCAGGGGGAGTGGGAGAGGGAGAAGCAGGCCTCCTGCGGAGCAGGGAGCCCGATGCGGGGCTCAATCCCAGGAACCTGGGATCATGACCCAAGCTGAAGGCAGACACTTAATGACTGAGCCACCCAGGTGCTCCAAAACTGGACTACTTTCTTATACCATAAGCAAAAATAAACTCAAAATGGATGAAAAACCTAAATGTGAGACAGGAAGCCATCAAAATCCTAGAGGAGAACATAGGCAGCAACCTTTCTGACCTTAGCCCCAACAACTTATTACTAGATACATCGCTGGAGACAAGGGAAACAAAAGCAAAAATGAACTAGGACTTCATCAAAATAAAAAGCTTCTGCACAGCAAAGGAAACAGCTAACAAAACTAAAAGGCAGCCTACAGACTGGGAGAAGATATTTGCAAATGATGTACTTGATAAAAGGATAGTATCCAGAATCTATAAAGAACTCATCAAAATCAACCCCCCAAAAATAAATAATCCAGTTAAGAAATAGGTAGAAGATATGAACAGACATTTCTCCAAAGAAGACATACAAATGGCCAACAGACACATGAGAAAATGCTCAACATCACTCATCATCAGGGAACTGCAAATCAAAACCACAATGAGATACCACCTCACACCAGTCAGAAT